AGAAGCTGTGTCATCAGATTGTGCGACTATTTCTAAACAGGCAGAAAAGAAAAGAAGCCCAAGAATCTAAACAATCTTTTTGGGTTAATTAGTCAGAGAACTGAATAAATAGTAGTGGTGTCAAAGTGCACAAGCTACTCTTTTGAATTCACGAGTGCTTCCTATAACAGTAAATTAGAGCCTGGCAGTCCATTACACTCACAAGTGTTGCAGGACTCAGCAAACTACACAATACTGGATGTGACAGCACTACACACAGGTGGGCGTGATTGTGAAACGACAAATATTTAGTTATTTAAGGTTCAGTTAGAGCTCTGGACGTATCAAATAGATTTACACTGACTACTGATCAGCAATGAGAATAACAGAAAGAATTTAACATGTAGATTACCTCGCTATCAATAATAAAAGCCCAAATAAGCACGAGCATACGTGCCCTTAAAAGCAAAAAGAAAAATCAATAAACTAACTATTAATTATTTAGCTAAAATCGAGTGTAACGCACACTGGTATTGGTGTGCACGGAGTCAACATGAGATAACAGGCTCTGCGTCTCTGCCAGGTTAGACTGAGTCACTCACACAGATGCAGTTAAGCTGTTGTTATGCTGGTGAGTGAAGCACTGAGGAGAAGCAACCTGCTGAGGCTCGATCCTTCATTTACTTACTGAAGTCTTTTTCTGCTCTCTGCTTTCAGCACAGTCTGACCTGAAACCAACGTCCGGCTGACTCACAGTTTGCTGCTCGTTTTAGCTTCATATGGATGTAATCCTGCTCTTTCTACTGGTTTTCATTTATTTTACACTATTAAAGTCTTTCTTAAAAATGTAGTTAGCTTCATTTGTTTGAGACATCACGTCATCACTGCCCCGATTGGTTCCTTTGGCAGTCCTGGTCTTTGCTTGTTTTGTGCATTAGCAAACAGATTAGCAACAGCTAAGCTTATCTTAGACAGCTGAGCAAAGGAATAAAATACTTTTAGGTCTCTGACAATAAACTTAGCAGTGATGATTCTGCTGAGTCGTGCTGCTTCATGATGCGGAGCTTTAACCATGGAAGATGCAATTAGTCACATCTGCCCAGTGCTGAGCCTCCTTCAGCTGTTTCAATGCTTCACTGTTTGTGTCAGGAACTTGAGACCTTCGCTGATAAACATCTGTCATTATATTGAAAATGATGATCAGGCCATTTAGGTTAGTGCTAGAGTTTGACAATAGGTATAATAATGTGTATGTGTTAGTCCTCATAGGGAAATTGCTCCTCTGCATTTAACCCATTCACCCAGTGAAGCAGTGGGCAGCCACCAATGCAGCGCCCGGGGAGCAGCGTGTAGGGACGGTACCTTGCTCAGGGGTACCTGAGGGTAACCGTTCAGTGGAGTCGAACCCCCGACCTTCCGATCATGGGGCCACCACTCTACCTACTGAGCTATCCCTGCCCCATAGGGAGATGCAGACAGAACTTTTTCATGTGATTTTGTAGCATTTTGAGTGTCTTGCTGCAGCAGCTTAATGAGGGAATCCTCCTTATGTTACGATGATGGAAAGTTTAACTGGCTCTTGTGTTTTGTCCTGCTAATCAGTTGTGCAGTGGTAAAGTTAGTAAAGCATTAATTCCATGGTTTTGCAATTAATAATCCATAATTATAGGATTTAATCCTCTTATATGTGACTCAGAGCTAATTGTGCAGTTACTCGGTTAATTTTTGCGCGTCAAATAAAAGAAGTAATCTAGATTATATGTGATCCGCACCTCCAAATCTCTGAAGTTCTCCATAAGAAGCTGTTTTTCTGGAATAGACTCCAAGTGATCCAGGGCTACTCTTGTATTCTTAAAAAAAAGAAGAAAACACACACACACACACACACACACACACGAATATTTAACAAATGTAAATGGAAGATACTGAAAGTTGTCAGAACTGAAAACAGCATCTGTGTTTTTAACATCATAATTACAAGTTATCCAAGTGATCCCGACGCAGATGTCAGTAAATCCAATAACACAACGAGGAACCCCAAAAATCCTAAACACGTAGACACACATGCTACAAGACTAAAACAACACGTGGAGATTTAATGATTAATAATATTGGGGCCACTTCCCAATTCCATTAATTGCCTCTCCTTTTCCCTCGCCACGTTTTCCTCGTTCGTCAGCACTTCCCACTTACAGCCAACAAAAAAGATCAAACAGCAACAGCGAGGAAGGAAAAGTCGGTGAAATAAGAGTGAAACGAGACGTCGCTCCGAGTCGAGGTTCATCTTAAACGATAATCGCCGATGAAGGTTGCACAGCTGGATGTTCGTGGGTGTAACTGCTCGGCAGAGTCGACTGACGCCTTTGTATCTGCACACATAATGGATGTAGTGGCTAAACAAGCGTCCGTGGCTGATACTGTTAGCAGCACATTTATGTATTATTTATACCCTCCCACATGACAGTGCTGAATGTGGAGTAGCAGACACTGCATACAAAATTAACCTGAATTCTGACTGTGCACACATCAGTCCAAAGTTATTTTGTAAATGCATTTATGATCCAGATACCAGATCCATAATGGACTTCAAAATAAAAGTTTCAACACATTTCAAGGTGAAAGCACGAGCAAAAATATGATGTTTTTCTGTACTTGACCACATGCGCCCCAAAAGGAGCCGACTCGTGGCAGACGGCATCAAAAAAAAGCCAATAATCTATCTACATCCTGAACAATGTGTGACGCCTAAATCTCTGCACAACGTGTGGAGCTGAGCTGTGCCACATTCTACATGAAATGATGCTTTCTAACTAATTTATTGGCAACAAAAACAAAAGCACAGTGGCATTAAAAATATATGAGAGTTCAGAGTATGAAGGTGAAGGTATGAAATCAAATGTCCCTCCATGGCACACAGCATTTCCTCTGCCTTTGGTGCGTATGTAACCAGCGTATGTAACCAGCTACAAACTTAAGACACCATCAGTTGAAAGGGAGACGTCCTTCCTGGACACTGTACTCAAATATGGTGGAGGAACATGATGGCATCCACAAACTGCAAACCCTCTGCGTTTTTAATAGATTCATTATAAGTTTCTGAGATGAAATCAGTTTGTTAGAAGTTGTAATTACACACAATTTTATGGATATTTATGAGTACAGTAACCTTCTTTTTCCTGTAAAATAACCTCAAAAAGTTACTGACTGTACCTTTAAACAGACATGATGTCATACTGCTCGGTCAATTCAAAAGCTAATTGAGGACTTGTTACAACACACTCAGCACCATCTTTAATTAAGTACTACTCTAGCTGCACTCCCTTCTATTCATCTCTTCACTGTACCTTCAATAGCCTTTTTGTTCACATTCAGACGGAGCATTTAAGCATCAAAGAGCCGGCTGTTACGAGGCGTCACACTGATTGCTACGTTGAATGGCACGCTGACATACAAGTAAGATTTACTTGATGATCCCCATTTCCCAGGGTGGTGACAGATGGGTCGATGTGTCCTGCCACTTTGTGATTGCAGTAAGCAAAAATGATGTTGGTGGTCCGGCTATTTCTTCCTTCTTTCTTGTAACAGCTAATTGAAGCCTGAAGTAGACAAGCATGCTGCATAATAGTGATGGATGGACAGCGTGGCTCGGGTGGCTTCGTTTATTTATTTTTTAAAAGAGAGTAATAAGTGATTGGGTCAATACGCTCTTTCAGCGGCGCTAATTAATTTCTGGCTGACACGTAATAGCTTATTAGAGATGTTAGTGGTAGACGTTAACCGTTCGGATGGTGAGGTCGATGCTGCATTGTCAGTGCAGCCTGGTTCTTAACCTCATCAGAAAGAGTGATGATGATTAACAGAGCTCTGAGCCTTGACTAAAGAAATCATTTTCTGTGTTAGCCTCTATGGGCTGCTGGGCAAACACAGCCTTAGGTGAACCTGCTTACACGGCTGAGCCAAATACAGCTGAAAACCTGGGAAATAACTAATAATAAAAATAACAGAAAAATGATGTCAAACATCACATCTTACCAGCTCCAGATCCAAAACACGGTCCTAAAGAAAACACAAACACAGTAACATTACTGAACTGCAGCACCGGTCTTTAAATGCATGTAATATTTCAGACAGCGAGTCCAGGGAACGGCTCAAAATGGTGGCTGAGCAGAGAGAAACCACGTGTTTGTGTTCGCGTGTGTAGGAGGAAAAAATTGACAAAAGAGAGAAAGAGTGTGTTCCAACAAACGGGTAACAAGGGAATGAAATGCAGGGCTAGGGAGAGTCTGTAGCACACAGCAGACTTCTTATCACACACACCGACACACTCGCACAAAGACAAACCGCTCTCGCCGCTCATCCAGCTCCTGACTGATGTTCCCTCTCTAACGATGCATAAGTGATGCTATGCCTCTTATCTGCCACTCAAACGCACACCTGCTCTTCCCTCCAACCGACTGCTTCTCCCCCTGTGCCTGTAATGTGTCGATGGTTTCTAACAGGGGGACTTTTTTCCGCCTCAGCCCACTTTTTTTTTTTAACTCTACGTCCTTCACACAGTCTTTTCTTTTTACATCTCTGTCTCCTCATCCTTCATAATTAAAAGCTCGGTGGTGTCTAAAAGGGTGCACAAGCTCTGGCAGGTGCCATTATGCAGCCACAGACGAGCCCGCAGAATCCGTAACACACATGCACAGTCACACAGAGCTAGTCAGTCTCTTCTCAGACGGTTCGCTGCCTGTGTGCGTGTGTTTCTTGCTGTTTAATAGTGAATAAAGGACCAGTCCACTTGAGACTAGGTGGGTTGGTGTCCTGCCAAGTGTAGCTGCTGCAGTATTGAAAGACAGAAACAAGGCCTCGAGTGGCTTTTAAACTCCAAGCCATCTTGTCCGCAGTAATTAGCTACTTGTCCGAGCTCGGCAGCAAGGAGTCTGTCAGGCCTACAGCTGTGGAGTAATGTTTGTAACACACCCTCAGAGAGCTCAGATGACCAAAAGCCAGACACACAGCACTGTGCAGAAATCTTCAGTCTCCAGTTCATTTCTTCATATTTAGCTTCCAAGGAGCCAGACTTTATTTTAAAATTGTTTTTATCTATTTTTAATTAAGACTTCTTTAGCAATAGTTTGTAATGGCTTCATTTTCCAGCATGACAATGATCCCCAGACACACTGCCTATTCAGTAAAAGCACATCGTAATAGCAAAACACACTGTGTTCCTGAAGACGACTTAAATAAATGATAAGAGAGTTCAGGCTGTGCTGAAGAATAAAGATGGTCACACCAAAATACTGACCGACTTTCAAGCATGTAGAATCGTACAAACTCGGTTTTGTTTCCGCATTTTTCCTGTAAAGTTAAGAGAAATGATGGGTGGCTCAAGACTTCTGCACAGCACTTTGCCAACTTAAACACAAACTCATATGTATATGTATAT